CCAGCACAGTAATCAATTGATTTTCAGTTCGTCTTATCAAAATAAATGAGATTTAGCCACTTTTATCTTGGAAGCAGATCGAGTCTAAAAATTTGTAGACCACTGTTATTCACTCCATTAGAAAATGAATGTAGTAAAAGAGCACGTGTCCTTAATGGATGGAGGAATTATTCTCAGCGACAAGTGCTAGGGATAACATTACTAAGAAAATCATCACTGACAAAAATTAATAGTAACTATCAATCTTAAAGGGAGATTTGCGAAGATTACCTTGCATTTGCAAAAAAAATGCAAACTCGTTAATCTTTATGTAGACAATATTCCAAAAATACAAATGAAAATAAGGATAAGATGAAGATTCGACAAAAGAAAGCAAAAAGAAAATGTTGCCAACGGCGCCTGCGCGTGAACCTCTCACGCTTGGCTTCGCGAGGATCGAACTCACGGCCGTCGGTCTCCGAGTCGGAGGCGGTACCTCTGAGCTACGGAGCCTTGCAAGGGATGCGCAAGAGGAAACTATCTGAATGTTTAACCGTCTTACTTTCTCGTTGCAAAGCATTGCGCTATGTAATTTCCTTTTTGTATTTCTTCTTTCGATAGGTTTGCTGTGATTGGTTTCATCTATTAATAACTGTTAAAAAAACGACATGCCGATATTTAATTTCTGATTTAGCTACATTGATTAACAGTTAGTTATAGTAGAATATGATACATTCTACTAAATTGTAATTGTCTCAGTCAAAACAGACACGAGCAAATGAGTAGACTAATAAAAAGTGCAAGCGCCTGAACACACCACACTCCTACGTCAACCATATGGCCGTTTTGTCGCTTAGGTATACAATGAAATGAGGCTCTCTGGGGTAAGTAGATTTGACAGCCCTGTCTTTAACATCAGTGCGTACTTAAATAGACCTTGCGGCAGGACCAGATCTTTTTCTTCCTCTTGCGACTCTCTCCCATTCAACTCATTATTATCAGCTCAAAAATAATATTAATAATGAATGGTGATGGTGATGATTCAGATAAAAAAGATAAAGGATATTCATCACATTGATAGTAATTGATGATAATAATACTGATTGTGGTAATAATGCTAGTAACATAATGACGGAATTAGGAATGACGGTGATGATGATAATGATAATTACGGTTATAATCATAATTCTGATATAATTCTAATCATAATTATGAATAACCCGTTCACCTGAAAATACTTTCTTTTCTTGCCTGTGCTCATGATAAGCGTTGCATTCGAGACGCGATGTTGCACAACTGCGCCCAGAGGCAGGCAGACAAGACCCGCGGAGCTGGCCGCAAAATGCCCCCTGGATTGCAAATTTAATAAGTTGCTATAAAGATGTCTGGCCAATTTGCCGGCTGTTTCTTTTCTCTCTATTAGTATGAATGCAGTAAGAGAACACGTGTCTTTAATGAAGAAAGAACAATAGATGATATTTTTTTATTTATTTACAAAACATAAGATTATATCATATGTACTCCTAAATAAACCTAGTCGCTTACTGGCATTATTAGTATGACATTAGTCATAATGATGGGAGTAGAATTTAATGGCAGTGATGATGAATAAAGCAATACTGAGAAACTCATTATTGATGGAATTATTAAAAACTATCAATCGAAAAGAGGGTTTTGCGAAGATTACCTTGCATTTGCAAACTCGGTAGTCTTATCTTCATTAAGACATTATTCCAGAAATACTAATAAAAATACAGGCGAAGATGAAAATTCGACAAAAAAAGCAAAATGAAAAACTTTGCCAACGGCGCCTGCGCGTGAACCTCTCCCGCTTGGCTTCGCGAGGATCGAACTCACGGCCGTCGGTTTCCGAGTCGGAGGCGGTACCTCTGAGCTACGGAGCCTTGCAAGTGATGCGCAAGAGGAAACTATTTGAATGTTTAACTGTCGTACTTTCTCTGTGCAAGGCGTTGTGCTGTGTAATTTCTTTTTTCTTGCATTTCATTAATTTACTGATATAAGATTAAGTTTGTCCCTTTCTCTCTCTCACCCGTGTGTGTATATATTTTATTGGGAGTCATGCTGTGTACGACTGAAAACGTGTAGACCAGGTTGTCATCCTCAAAACCTTTCGAAGACCAATTTTGATTTCAGCGATCGTCTTCAGGGCCAACAAAGGTACATACCTGGCTTCCTAGGATTACGTATCAAAACCGTATGACAGGGTGGTCCAATTTCGACATCTTGGGCCACTTGAGCACAATCCAGGGTCCACACGCAAAAAAAAAAAAAAAAAAAAAAAAAAAACGCAAATAAATAATTATGCTTATATATAGAGATATGCTTCCTCCCATTTCTCATGAAACACCTCGTTCGCCTGAAAAAAATAATTTCTTGCCTATGCTCATGTCAAGCGCTGTATTAGAGACGCGATGTTGCGCAGCTGCGCCCAGAGGCATTTTTGATTTTAAAAAATACACATGATAATACAACACCTAACATAATTAAGGAGCGTAAGTCAAATATAAGCCTATTTCGATAAAACGCAATAAAATCATAATCCGGAATGGCATTGAAAGTACAGTCAATTTCTAGGAAGGCGAATACGAATGGTCGTAACATCACGAGGCGAGACACGACCAGATTTTTCCGCGATACATCTCCGTCAATAGCCTTGTATCGCTCGTGCAAATTATTGTTTCTTATATCGGTTGATTTTGTTCCTTGCCCACACGACTATTATCTTAGATTTTCTCCCAATCGATGGGTCCTTTTGTATAGTTTGACCAAATTCATCAAATATGGAGTTATTATATCTTTCAGCATCAGTAAGGGCATTGTCATTTGCGTTATCTTTTTATCTTCTTTATGTGATATTAACGCTGGTGGAAATATTAATACAGGTAATAGTAAACACAAGAGAAAGAAAGAAATAATAGGAACATTGATTATGTAAACAACGCCATCATACTTGACACAAAAGACAAATGAATTACTAAATGTATCTTGTAATTAGGATAAACTCGAGGGGAGTGAACTACCGAGTTACAATAACATGCTTAAACGATACGAAAGTCAGTAATAATCTCATGGAACGAAAACACATTCACATGACGTGTAGAAAAATCGGCTTAATAATATCCTTTTACAACACCGTGAGGAATATACAGTGTATGTATATATGTATATATATATATATATATATATATATATATATATATATATATATATACATCTACATATATATATATATGTATATATATATATACACACACACACACACACATATATATATATATATATATATATATATATATATATATATATATATATATATATATATATATATGTACACACACACACACACATATATATGTATGTGTGTATATATATATATATATATATATATATATATATATATATATATATATATATTTATATGTACACACACACACACACACAATATATATGTATGTGTATATATATATATATATATATATATATATATATATATATATATATATATATGTATACATATGTATATACACACACATACATACATACGTATATATATCATTGGAAGGGAATAAAAATTTTCCTATTATAAATAATGGTTAGATTCTTTTCGACAGTCTTCGAATACATGCGCGTGTGTTTGTTTGTCTGTGTGTGTGTGTGTGTGTTGTATATAACACACACACACACACACACACACACACACACACACACACACACACACACACACACACACACACACACACATATATACATATATATACACATATATGTATATACATATATACATATAGATATAGATATAAATATAGATATATATAGAGATAGATAGATAGACAGAGAGAGTGAGAGGGAGAGAGTTAGAGATAGATAGATAGGTAGATAGACAGATAGATAGTTAGATAGACAGATAGATAGATAGTTAGATAGTTAGATAGTTAGATAGTTAGATAGACAGATAGATAGTTAGATAGACAGATAGATAGTTAGATAGACAGATAGATAGTTAGATAGACAGATAGATAGTTAGACAGATAGATAATTAGATAGACAGATAGATATATATGTAGATAGGTAGGTAGAGAGAGAGAGAGAGAGAGAGAGAGAGAGAGAGAGAGAGAGAGAGAGAGAGAGAGAGAGAGAGAGAGAGAGAGGGAGAGAGGGGGGGATAAACAAAGAAAGCGAGAATATGGAAAGGAACATGTTTAGCCCCCCCCCCCCTTGTGTTTCTTTGTCTGTTTCTTTTGATGCTGTTTCCTGTTTGAATTTATGAATGCTATTACCATATAAGTCTGTCTTGAAGTATATATTACTATTCTTCTTGTTACTATTATTATTATTATCATTATCATTATTATTATTATTATTATCATTATTATTATTATTGTTGTTGATATTGTTGTTATTGATATTATTATCATTATCATTATGGCATTATGGGTAAAACCTCACCAAGCGCGGGAAGCAACCGGTATAAAAGGGCAAGCCAGGTCGGTCAGAGGGAGAGGCTTTTATCTTGTGTGGTGACAGACCGTTGGATTTTTAGCTGGCTGACTGGCACTTCTCGAGCTGTGGCGGGTTACATCGGTTGTAACAAGTACGTGTATGGTGTGTTGTCATGTATATTGGTTATGTTTAGAAAGATTTGTGCGTAATAAATGTATAATATGGATGCTCTTTTTATGTTGCCTTTTTAGTCAGTCAGTGATGTTAGTTTACTGTTCTTTTATCGTGACTACGGGATCACTTTCAAAACACCTGAGAGTCATCCCCAAAATACGCCAAACGCATTGGAGATTACCTGTAGTTGAGTAAACACGCTACCAAATTAACATCTCTAACTCTAGGAAGTTTTGATTATCCACTACAATTACTACTACTGATACTAATGATGATAATAGAACTAACTTGAATTTCATTATCTTTAATAATCATTGTTCACCGGCATAAGAACTAGCTTGTGTTTAATGCATTTAGCACAAAGGAGAGATGGCGCACTTAGTGCCTTATTTCCTTTCCTTTCCCAGAATATGCTGGACCTTCAGGTGTTCCATCAGCTTGAAGATCCGCCTGAACTGCAATCCGCAGACCTTGCACCTGAGGGAGGTCTCCTTGGCCTCAGCGGAAGGCCCTCGCTCGGACGCCTCCCTCCGCCGACACCTTCTAAGGGCAGCCAGCCTCTGCCTGTGCACCACGACGTGCTTCACCAAATGAGCCTTTTGCACGAAGAACTTCCTGCAGATGCCGCATCCGAAGGGCTTTTCGTTGGTGTGCAACAGCGAGTGCCGAAGGAGGTTCCCCTTCTGAGTGAAGCGCCTGCCGCAGGTGTCGCATCCGAAGGGCCTCACCTCCGCGTGGACATTGTTGTGAATCAGCAGATGGCCCTTTTGGCCGAACACTTTGCCGCACACGTGGCACCTGAAGGACCTTTGGGCGGTGGCATGGGACTTGTGAATCATCTTGAAATCTCGGAAACAACTAATGACTTTCTGTCTGATCTGAGAGTTATATAGGGAGCTTTCACGTGACCCTGAGGGGTGGGAACGAGGACCTTAATAAGGCACTGTGATAGGAACTCGGTCATATTAGGTAAAATTAACGATGGTCATTCTCCGGAAGAGAGTGAAAAAGCGATTTTTTTTAACTTGTCAAAAAGTTCCTATTTAGTTCTTAGCTTTGTGTGAGAATCTCGGAATGTACTTTTACGTAAAGAGAAACACTACCATATCATGGACGTTTTCGCTTTGTATACGCATTACGAAGCTTGTGTTTTGTTCACTTTTACTAATTCTTTTTTATTTTTTTTTTATTTCCGTTCGTTCTTGTGTCTGGAATGAGGCACTGTGAATAATGCACCGCGAGAAGATGTCACTTACGTAAATGTTAATCCTCCTCTGGAAGAAAGCGAGAGAGAATACCTCTTAGTTTTGCGTAAGAATCTTGGCATATAGTGAATTACATTTCCTCAGCAGCACAAAAATAACAGATTACCATGAGCAAGATTTTTTCTGTAATCGATACTGACTATACGCTTGTTGATCACACCCAAGATCCTCAATCAACACCAAATTCGTAGAAATAAGTACCGCGGTAAAGTAAAGTTTTCCTTTAGTTGTTTAGATAAATCGATTCATAAACACGGTCGGAAGCTACAGATGACTTTCAATATCGAAACATAAAGATGAAGGTGATAAATCTCCAACGTTTAAATCAGTTTTCATGTGTGTGTGTGTTCATGCGCCAGTGGGTGTGCACATATACTCTATATATTTTATAAAATGTTAACTTGATATCATTTTCTTCAAGGTAAGAATGATATTCATTACGGCAACAGTTCTTACGGTATGTACTATTGTGTAATACACAAGCAACTTTCTCAGATGATCTAAACTCATTTAACTAAAATCTCTATTCGCATTCATGAAATGAAATTCAGCGAAAATATTATATAACAAGAATTAACCACTATGTCAGGAAAGGCTGGAAGATGAAATCTATAAGGATTTCGAAAATGTTGTCTAACCTTTCAATAACTCTAGTCTGTGTACAATGGAATTTTTATATTGCTGTCAGGAAAGCAGAAATTCCTTTCGCGTGTGTGATGGGAGTGAAATTCAGTTTGTATTCCTAACACTTGAGTTCATGGGGCACGGGACAGCTTTCCAACAGGTTTCTTTCAAGTTGCATGTTGCTGTTTTCTTCTTTTAATGTCCAATAATAACTTCCACTTTGACGTTATCTCCTATTTAGATTCACATTTAATGATATTATAGATAATATTACTGACATTACCAGTAAGTATTGCATTTTTTAAACAGTTACCGTGGAATCGAAGGTTAAAAGAAACTTCGAACTAACATTTTCGATGGAACTCGGAAGTAAAGAGAATGTCACGTTCATATCAAATATTTGTCTAAACCGTTTCCAGCATGGAATCACCGCGGAAATAAGTCATACGAAATACCTTTAAAGCGAAATACTCACTACGGCAGTTCGTTTGTCAGCCTGCACAACCCAGAAAAAATGTAACGTAATTAATCGAGAAATACAACTTGAAGGATATGCATTGCAATACTGTGTTTGTGCGTACAGAAGACTATGGGACAGGTGAGCTGAGAGATAATCACACCTAAATTGCTCGTAATGCGCTCTTTCCATGCTACGCGCGTCCACGGGGCATCTTTCCCCGACGAGAACATTTAAGAAAGAGCATTTTACATTCATGCTAACGAGAAGGATAAACTTGTATGTTTACTTTTGTTAGGGAGGAATTAGCAAGCTATGTCGACAAGAACATCAAAAGAGGGTGTGTGCGTGCGTTTATTCACACGCACACACACACGCGCGCGCGCAGACTTTAAACGAGAAACTTTTTATTAACTAATTAGAGCAAATCATGTTAAGGTATTTCCCGCTCCTGTTGATCCCTGCCTCCACGTCTTGTAGCTGTCTCTCTCCGCCTTCCACGATGGTAAACGATTCCTCTCTGGGTTAAACTCCGGAGAATTCCTGAAGCAATCTCTGGTGCAACTGAACCCACAACCATAAGGCCGTCTGGTCATGTTGTCTGACGCGTGGCGCGAGGACCTCTGCACGTTTCGGCTCGGAAGGATGCTCGCAAGGATGCTCGCACGGAAGTTCATGAAGCCTCTCTCTTCCTATCCTTTCTCTCTCGTCCCTCTCTTAATCTATATATGTATGTGTGTGCTTATTTATACCATATATATGAATAAATATATGTGTGTGTGTGTGTGTGTGTGTGTGTTTGTGTGTGTGTGCGCATATATTTGCGTGCCTTCGGCCTAAGGGCGTCGGTAATGTAAGCGCCTGGCGCTGTTAAGTTAAGTTTCAATATTATCATACTGATACATGATGGAACTTCCTGCGAGTGCCGAAGGAGGTTCCCCTTCTGAGTGAAGTTAAATCAAGGCAAGTTAAAAAATCAAGTAAATAGACATCCGAGTCTTAAGAATGAAGCAAATAAAATGACTGTATAAAACCGAAAAAAACAAGAAAACGGCTATAAAAATGGGAAACTTCGCTAAACCTACAAAAAACAATAGAACAATAAAAGACCAAGTAGAAAGATCAGCTCCCCCAGAAGAACAGGAGCGAACAAGCGAAGTCCGGGCGCGGCCGAAGGCGGAAACGAGTGGCGGGGGGGGGGGGGGGTGCTCTTGAAGGCCCGAGATGGGGAGGACTAGGATGTCACCATAAAATAATAAATAATAGCGATGGTGATGATTCAGATAAAAAAAATATATAAGGACGATAATAATGACAATGATAGTGATGTTTGATGATGAAGATGATGATGCAATGAAGGTGATGATGATGATAAGGATGATTATGGTTAGATAATTATGCTTATATATAGATGCCACTGGATTGCAGATTTAATCGGTTGCTATAATGATGTTTGGCCTATTCGGTGGATTTTTTTATTCACTCCATTTGTAAATGAACGTTGTAAAAGAACAGGTGTCTTTAATGAAGAAAGGACAATTGATAATTTTGATAATTTTTAACGAAAAAGAAAAAAATATATGTTACTAAACAAGCCTAGTCATTTAATGACATGACTATTATGCTATTGGGCATAATGATGTGAGTAGAATTTAATGGCAGTGATAATGATTAAAACAATATTGGGAAAAAAATAATAATAATTATCCATCGAAAAGGGAGTTTTGCGAAGATTACCTTGCAGACTCGTTAGTCTTTATTTAAATATTATTCCAAAACTACAAATGCAAATATAGGGGAAGATGAAGTTTTGACAAAAGAAAACAAAAAGAAAAATGTTGCAACGGCGCCTGCACGTGAACCTCTCACGCTTGGCTTCGCGAGGATCGAACTCACGGCCCCCGGTTTCCGAGTCGGAGGCGGTACCTCTGAGCTACGGAGCCTTGCAAGTGATGCGCAAGAGGAAACTATTTGAATGTTTAACTGTCGTATTTTCTCTGTGCGAAGTATTGCGCTGTGTAATTTCCTTTTTGTATTTCTTCTTTCGATAGGCTTGCTGTAATTGGTTTCACCTGTTAATAACTCTAAAAAACGGTATACCGATATATAATTTCTGATTTAGCTACATAGATTAACAATTAGTAGACCATACAGCGGCACCAGCTTTTCTTCCCCTTGTAACTCTCCCCCATCTCTCTCTGCCTATTTGTCTGTCTCTCTTCTAACTTTACTGTTTTATGATTTCGGTCCGTGTCAACACCAACTCAGCCAAATCCATTATAAATCTCAAATAATATATTCATCTCATCTTCGTCTCGCTCTTCTATTAGGAATGAAAGTCTCAATTGAGCAGTTTTATTCCGACAGTCAACGTCACCATAATCGGCCAGCCATTGCACTGTTGCGCACTGTGCTATATGTCTGAAATGAGGGTAGACTGCTATTCTAACGGTCTGTATACCCTCATATTTATATCAATGGGTAATCAAACAGTCGGAGAGAATTACTGTAGTTTTCTCTCCCTCCTCCCCTAGATTTAATGGTATGAATTTCTTTACCTTTTAATAGGCAGTTGGTGAAATAGCCATCCTGTGTTATACAATGTAGTCTTCCTGTTTGGCTAACGGGATCACGCTTGTTGTTTAAAACCGATGATTCTTTCTTCCCAGAAAGGTAAAACAACACCTTCTGGGCAGCTATCGATTTGCCCGTTGATAGATTCGAAAACTACGTAGTGCTGCCGATTATGAGTTTTCAGGTAAATATAATTGGGGATATATCTATGGAGTGTTTTTATAATCCAACTATCATTTACCCTCTTCTATCCGGATCGAGATTTCCCAATAGGGTATCTTCACTCTTCCTCTCACCCAAGAGGAGTACACTGAGCGAGGTAATCCCTTGCCGTCACATGGCTTAGTTCTTGTTTGTAATATAAGGTGCTGCGAAATTCCGGTAAATTTTGGGAGACAAACGGTTTCTCTCCTCTGTCTGTGTCTCTCTGTCTCTGTCTCTTCTCCCTCTCTCTTTCTCTTTCTTGCTTTATTTTGCGTGTGTGTGTGGGGGGGGGGGGTTAGAATTTGATGGCAGTGCTAATAGTTAGATATTTATGGATAGAAATCAATAAAAAAATATCAGTCTAAACGGAAGATTAGCGAAGGTTACCTTGTATTTGCAAACTCGTTAGTCTTGTGTTTATTTAGACATTATTCCAGAAATACAAAAGAAAATAAGGATAATATGAAAATTCTACAAAAGAAAGAAAGAAAGAAAAAATTGCCAACGGCGCCTACGCGTGAACCTCTCACGCTTGGCTTCGCGAGGATCGAACTCACGGCCGTCGGTTTCCGAGTCGGAGGCGGTACCTCTGAGCTACGGAGCCTTGCATTTTATTTGCAAAAAGGAACTATTTGAATGTTTAACTGTCTTACTTTCTCTGAGTAAAGCACTGCGCTGTGTAATTTCTTTCATGTGTTTTTCTATCGACAGACTTGCTGTGATTGGTTTCATCTGTTAATAATAAAAAAAAAACGGAATATCAATATATAATTTCTGATTTGGCTACATAGATTAACAATTAGTAGACCATGCAGCTCCTTTTCTTCCTCTTGTAACTCTCCTCCCATCTCTCTCTCTCTCTGCCTATTTGTCTCGGTCTCTCTCCTCTATCCGTCTCTCCCTCTCTCTCTGTCTCCCCCCCCTCCTTCTTTCTCTTTCTTGCTATTTTCTTGCTTTCTTGTTTTTTTTTTATATCTCTCTCCTTCTTGGCATTTCTGTCTCTCGTACTATGTAAGTCCTCTTCTCGCCTCTTCCTCTACTCCTTCTTCTTTCTCATTCTTTTTTTTGCTCCTTTTCAATTTCATTTCTTCAACTACTTTTACTCCTGATCCCTTTCTTCTTTTTCCTCTTCGCTTTCTTTTTCTACTTCTTTTCCGTCTCTGCTTTCCGTGTTCAAAGTTATTTCTTCGTCTCATTTTTATCAGCCTAAATAATGATAATAATAAATAGTGATGGCGATGATTCAGATAAAAAAAAGGATATCACTGTCAATAATAATGCTGGTGTTTGATAATGATAATAATAGTGATTGTGATAATATGCAGTAACATAATGACAGTATTAGCAATGAAGGTGAAGGTGATAATGATGATGATGATTACATTTGTAACTATAATTTTGATTATAATTATAATAATAGATATGATTAATACTATAATGATGATGAAGATGAAGATGATGATAGTAGTAGAATATCGACTATACATTTCATCCCTCTCTCTCAGCCGTTGTGTGTGTATGTATGTTTAGGTGCCACGGTGTGTACGGCTGTAAGCGTGTAGACCAGGGGTGCTAACATCATTCCCTTTGGAAGACTAATTTTGATTTCGTCGACCATCTTGAGGGCCAACAAAGGCTTCCCAGGTTTACGTTTTCGAAACTGTAGATTTGTCGGTCCAACTTCTTCGAGATCTTGGGCCACTTCAGCACTCAACGGTTACATGGAGGGCCTCTAATATATATATATGTGTGTGCACGTACACACGCGCACGCACGCACGCACGCACGCACGCACACACACACACACACACACTCACACTCACACTCACACTCACACACACATACATATATATAGGCCTATATATATTAAAAGCTTTAAGTGGTTCAATGCAGGGCCTACACGCAAAAAATGAATACACAAATAAATAATTATGCTTATATAT